TTGGGTCCTCTAGAAGTGCCTTTGCGGGGGAAATCTTTTTAATGGAGATTAATTGGAAAGCCTAGAATGTCCTACTTATAGGCAGAAAGTGCCCTGTTCTTCCTTTTGGCAGCTGCACATCAACACTTGTGTATAGACGTGCAGTAACACACAGACTCACTAGACATGCCAGTGCAAGCAAGGACGCGGTGCCCCCACCACACACTCTCAAGCCACTCACACCCTCATACTGCCATGCGGCTCCAAGTCCTGAGTCTCCCCAGGCTGAGCCTTTCCAGGGTGACCCTGGTCTGTGCAGCTTGCATGAGCCACGGCTTCCACTTTTGTCCTTCTGAATCAGAACCTCCTTCTTTGTGTCCAGTAGCTCTCCATGGCTTAGGAGTTTCCAGAGGGCAGAGACAAACTGAGGTATACCCAGAAGAGAAGAGTGTTTAATTTTTAGAGTTAAGTCCCTGGTCCCAATGTCTTTACGTGCCAGAATTCCAGCCACTTCCAACTAATAGCTCACTGGCCTTTGATGTCTCCATGTCTTGGCTCGCATGGTTCCCTTTGTCTGGATTGCCCTTCCCACCAGTTCTCTGGCTGTTGAAATCCTTCAGGATCAATGCCATTCCAGTGAGTCCATGTGTATTCATTGAATATCCACTCTGTGACAAGCTAGGCCTCCAGTGCCTAATCGGCAGATAGCGAGAGCAACAGAGCCCAGCCAGACGTGGGTCTCACCCTGGGGAAGGCCAGACACAAGTCAGACTTATGGGAAAAAAAGGCTATTTATTTATTCATTGATCTTAGGTATGTCCCCCAGGCTGCTGCACCGTGATATTCATTACACTGTATTGCTGGTCTCTTGGGCGTGTCCTTGGGATGGTAAGCTGGGCGATGGCAAGACACATGCATCCTGTGCCCTTTGCGATCCAGAGCCCAGGACAATGCCTTGTGTGCAGTAGGCACTGAACAAATGTGTTATATGAACGATTATTGAATTGAATTCACTTTCTCAGTGGGGGGGCTGGTACTTTATTCATTAATCATTACTTCAGATAATCACAACAAACATTTATGGAGCACCTATTATGTGCAAAACACTTGTCCTAGTGGTTTTGGAAGAAGCATAACTAAGATAGTACATTTAGTGCCTCAAGAAGTTTGCAATCTAGTCTCATTAAAAGAAGTTCGGACAAGAGACGACACATCACTACAGACTAACCTATAGGCCTAAGTCAACATAATGTGGTCAGGTCCCATCTCTATCTTGTTGAGATTTTATGGTTAATTTGCTGTGGGACAGAAGTGTTACTTATACCGTGACTTCCACCCTAGACCAATTTCTGGCCTTTTCTTTTCCCTGCAGATGCTCTGTTCAGAATTTCTTCCTTTAAACTTTGATACTACAAACCATTTCAGCCCACCTTGACTGAACTGTTACAAATTGATAGGTGTGTGTCCAATGTAAGAAGATAATACATGAGTTGTGTGAATAGAATCATAAAGCACCAGAATTGAGAGGAATGTTACCGATTGCTGTCAGGTTGTCATCCAGCCTTGACCTTGAACACCTCTAGTGACAGGGAACTCACTGTCATGTGCTGTTAGCAGGTTCTTACAGAAATAAAGCAATTGCACCCTGGGAGTCCCAGCCTTTACCGTGTGGCTTGGGATACACCTGTGCTGTGTCTGCCAAGTCAGACCTCCTCAAAGGCGCTGAGGGGGACCTGGGGACAAAGTAGGGTGTGTTCCTCAGTGCTTTGCTGTACATGCTGCTCACCTAGCTTCACCAAGTTAGATGGGCACCTGGAAATGCTAAAAAAAAAAAATCCTGGCTCTGGAAGGAGATGGAGGTCAAACACCTGGATCGGCTGACCTTTTTTTTTTTTCTTAATTTTTAGGGACAGGGAGGAGGGATACAGAAATGTGATAAAGCCCATTAAACTTAGAAATGAAGAAATGTCATTAAGTAAGAGCCCATACCTGGTATCACAAGGATTTCCTGCTTGCTCTTTGGTTTCTGGGTAAAGGGGAGAATGCCCTTCTTCCTGCAGCCCCAGCCTTCAACTTTCTGGATTTCTAAGTTATTCCAAAGACTGTTCCCAGAAGTGCCGGGAGGCTGCTATGGAGAGGGTGGGCCAGGCCAGCATGGCTTCCTGGCTTCGAGGGCCAGGGTGCTCAGGAGGGCCCTCCTGACTGCTGAGAGTGCACTCTGCAGCCAAGTTCTTATGGTGGGATTAGAATGTCACAAGAGAGGCTCTCTGAAGCATTTGCACTGCTGTGGGGGTGGGGAGCTGCCCTTTTATCTGCATGAGGGGGGCAAGAGGGAGGGTCAGTGTAAAAGATGGGAATGGGGTTGCACCCTAGGACAGACCTGTCTGCACAGAGAAAGACATGCAGCAGAGATGAAAGGGTAACTCAGGTAACTCACTGCTCCCCCTCAGGGACACCTGCTGTCTGGGGCCAGGGTTGGCTTTGGAAGGAGGTGGAGAGACAGCAGTTTCTGGGGCTCTGCTTGTCTGTAGGAAGCGCCCAGGGCCCTGCCCTCAGCTCCTTCTCCTCCATGCTATCCTTGGTTCAGCCTTTCAAAAATCCCTTCCATTTCTCAAGGATTTCACTCCTTTTCTTTGACCTAAATGCTCAAGACCTGCAGATGAGGCCAGAGGGTGGTAATCCACCAGACCATCCCCGTCCACACTACACTGCCCGCCGCGCCCGGCCCTGCCATCTCCCCCTTCCTTCACCTTCTCCAGTTTCCTTCCTCTTGCTCCACTGTCCTTATCTTCATTCTCATTTTCCTCTCCCAGATGGTCTCATTACTTTTTTTTCTTGATTCTCATTTCTCATTTTGAATCCGTCTTCCCAGCCTTCTCCACGACTCCTCTTGCTGCCCTTGGCCCTCTTTTCCTTAGTGAAGGAGGCTCTGCCGTGCGGCTCCTAGCCCGCCCGGGGTGCCCCCACCAGCAGTGCTGAAAGTGCAGTTCGGGGGTATGCCCTAGCCCTGGAGGAGGGAGCCTTCCGCAGCTGGGAGACTGGCTCAGAAGCCACCAGGAATTTGGAGACATGCCCACCCCAAGTGCCTCAGGATAGTATGGGCCTGGCCATTGAGGTCCTTCTGTCTCGGACATGCAGATTCTCTTTCTGATGTAGTTCGTTCTCTTTTCCTTTTCTGCCTGCCTTGTTCTGTCTCTTTCATTGCCACCTCAGCTTCTTCCCTCCTGACTTTACCTTAAAACAGTCTTTTGCAGCCTCTTCTCACTCTACCTGCCACCAACTCTCATTTCACCTGTCTGCTCTGTTCTGCCCATGACTCTCTCTTCCTGCCCTCTGCAGCCCTCTTTGCCCACAGACCATCGCTGTCACTGCCTGTGTCTCTGTTTCTTTTCCACCCACTCTGTGGACTGGGGACTGCTGCAGAACTGGCACTCCCATCCATCAGTAGGTTGGGTAAGGCAGGTTTGAGCCTGGAATGGGGTTGGGTAGAAGACCCCCTTCCCACACCCCAGCTCCTGCGCCTGCTCCAGCCTTCTCTGGTTTTGTGAGAGTCCTAGCTTCTGCTTTCTCTTCTCTTTCCCCCTCTTTGTCTTTTTCTGTCTTTCCTCTTGTCCCCTGTCTCCTAGCTGAACTCAGTCCTTGCTTGCCACCTGCTCTTCTCTCTGCCCACCACCTTTCCTTTGCCCACTGAAGCCAAATTGAAATTCATATTTTCAGCTGAATATCCACCAGAGCTGACAGCCCCCCTTTCTGCTCCTGCCTGTCATACCTGTGACAGCCAACGCCACTTGGACTCCCATGCCATTGTCCTGCCCTTATATAGCATCACAGTCCCCTGCCAGGGCACATTTGCATGGAGTTGTCAGGTCAGATCTGGCCCAGATGCTGTGGGGCTGGCAGACAGCAGGGAGTGGGGTATGGTTCTGGAGGTCCAAATGGGGCACAGGGAGAGTATTCAGTCATGCCTGCCTACTTTCTTTAGTTCAGGAGCTCCAAATCCTTGTGAATGGGGCTGGACTGATAGGTCACTTCAGCAACCAGAATTGCTTGCCTTCTCTCTTTTTAAGACCATGAACCTATTGGAAGTTTCTTACAGGGAAAAGCAGATAATAATAATAATAGCACAGCAGTGACCTTTCTTCCCCTAAGCTGGGTCCTCTCAGCCTGTGTCATAGTTTTCCAGCCTGCAGGCCTCCCTCTACACCCTGCTGGAGGAATGCCAGGATGACCTGGTAGACCAGTTCTCCTTCGCAGACTGACAGGGTCAGGACACGGGCTGACCTTAGAAGGGCCAGCAAGGTGTGGCTGAGGCTGCAGGAGATGCATGGGGATCCTAGAACATCAGAGCTGGAAAGGCCCTTGGGGTCCGGTTATTCAGTTCCCTCTTTGCCATTTAAGGGAGCTGAGATCCAGAGAAGTGAGGTGATCTCCCTCAAGTCACACAGCTAGTGACTTAGAGCGTCAGGAGCAGATGAGTCCACATCTCCCGGCTCCTGGCCCATGCATATCCTCTCTGGCAGGCAGCGCTAGGCTCATCCGCCTTGCCTCACTCAGGGTTCTGTTCTGCCTCTCTTGGTGACTAATCCACTAGCCCTGACCAATAAAGCCACATGCTTGTCACTGTGAGCACCAGCCAGTCCCGCAGCCAGCCTCCATGCTCTGCCCAAGGAGTGACACCAAGCCAGGTTGTAGCCACTTGTGAAATCCCATCTGGTCCTGGAAAGACTCCCTCCTTCCCAGGTTACCCCCTCCCTTCCCAGCCCTGGAAATAGACATGAGGTTGGCTCTGCCCAGCAGGGTAGGGGAGGGAGGAGAGACTGGTTCTTCTGGCTTGACTTTGGCTTCCTGCGATCAGATAGACCAAAAAGGGGAGGTGGTGAAGGTCGGTGGGTTGATTGAGTGAAGGCATCTGAAGTCCCTACTGCTCACTATGTCTTGTTCACTTCAAACTGTGACATGGAGGCAGTGTTTTGATATCATAATTGCTGGTGAGCAGGAATATGGGGAAGATAATTCAAATGTTTGGAAACTTGTCGGAGGTCGGGGGGGTTTCATCTGATTCCACATCACCTGATTTCACTCTTAGTCATACCTGATTACCTGTCACAGGAATGGGTTACAGCCTCTGAAGTCACATGATTTTGATGTTTTTCTGATTTGGGCCTGGACTCTGTATAAGGCAAAATTCAGGCAATGGGACTGACTCATGCAGCCCTCCTGGGAGCCTCTGGTCTAAGAGCCCCCTTCCTTCTCTACCTCTGTACCCCTCTACCCACAGCAGGTTTTGCCTTCTCTCCTGCCTGTTCTGCTCTGCCTGCCCTGGCCAGCACTCCCCTCTGCCCACCCTGCCTCCATCTCCTTCCTCCCTTCTCCCAGGTCTTCACTCCTCCACTATCTGAAGTACAAATCTCTTTCTTTTCTCCTCTCCCCTCTGCTGGCCCAGCCCAGAGAATTGCAATCCTCTTTTCTTGGTGAGATAATCCAAAGGGAGGGCCTCTCTGGCTGTTGTAATTTTCATAGAACAGGAAGGGAATGGCTGGAGTGTGGGGGTGGGGGTGGGGGTGGGGGTCTTGGAGGAGGGAGACAGAAGATGTGAGAGCAGAGAAAGGGAGGGAGAGTGGCAGAAGAAGAGTGGAGTGTGGAGAGATTTAGTTCCATCTGAGAGCTGTCGGTGCGAATCAAAGGCTTCCCTTTGAACCAGCAGTGAGCTGGAGTGGAGAGCATGGGGGCTGCTGCAGCCCAGGGGGTTCATTACTGCTCGTTTGATAAATCCAGGGAGACAGGACCCAACCCCGCACCCCCTCTCCTGCCGCCTGGCTTCCCTGGCCCCACTCCTGATTCCTGCGTGGCCTGGCTGGCAGGGCTCTGGGAACCAACTGGATGTCTCCAGGACTCCTGTGCCCAGACACAGAGTGAGGAAACATGCCTTGGATGAAAGAGGGATGTGTGTGCGTGCATGCGTGCGTGCGTGTGTGCACACCGATGATGAACATGTCTGCTTGGGTGCAGTGCATGTGACCCATAAGCAGTATGCAACATGTATGTGAGAGCCCTGGAAGCATTCTCAACCTCTCTCTGATCCATGAGGAGGCCACTTTCTAGTTCTTAGTTTAAAATGGGGTTCAATATCTCTGTCCTTTCCACACCTTTGTGGGGGAGCCTGGAAGCCCCAGGAACAGGCCCAGGGGGGACAGGAGATGTGTTCACACACAGACTGGGACAGGTGGCCCCTCCTGGCCTAACTGAGACCCCACTGCTGGGCTTGAGGATGGAAGAGGCCGGTGGAGAACAGAGCTGGGAGGCAGTGTCATCCCAGAATGACAGGATTGAGGAGATGGGGTGCTGAGAAAAGGGGAACCATGTCCTCGTGAGGACATAGTGTCCAGGGAGACAAAGAGGCACTGGGAGCGGGGGACAGTTTGCACAGTGACCGGGAGTAATGCGAGGTGGGGACAGCTGTCTCTGGACTTTTGAGACGGCATCTGGGGGAGTCAGGTGTTCTGGTCCTTCTCTTTGCCTACTGGGTCCCATACTCACCAGCTGTATGATGGGGACACTGCTCATGGCTGGTCCCATCTCACTGGGTTGTTGGGTCCATTAAGAGAACAGGCCTGGGTGATGTGCTGGACACAGGGACCGGCCCTTAAATCCTCCTACTGGTGGGCGTTGGTGGCTTAAAGGTTGGCATTTTGTGCATCACTGGGACTTCTCTGGATGCTGTGGATGGTCGGCCCAGACTTGGGTTCCACTATCCTTCCACATGAGGATCTTCCCATCAAGATTTCCACTGTTGCGGGGGCAGCCTGCCGGGCCAGTCCTGCGCGGCTCCTGGGCACCCACCAGCCCGGGTCCAGGGAGCACTCCTACTCAGCAGGTGACATGGTGAGGATGGCAGGAAGTCTGCGGTGGAAAGTGGGGATGGCACAGAGCATGGGAGCACCCTCCGTGCTCCCCAGGGCGGGGCCGGCGAGTTAGTTCCCTGGGAAGATGCGCGGGTGTTCCCGCGGTGTGGTGCGCTGCTCAGCATCTCAGTGCGCTCCTCCTCTGCCGCCTCATGCCCGTGCCTTATACACAGAGTCTTCCCTGTTTCTCTTTTCTATAAAATGAAGATAATAACCACCCCTGTGCAGCAGAGTATAATGCTAAAAACAACATCTATAAGGTCTCTGCCTTAGTGCCGGCATATAGTTGGCATCTTATAGTTACAGCTATTATTATTAATGAATGTTGTTGGGATTGAATGGACAAAAAAGGTAAATCAAAGCATCTCTGTTCTCCAGGGGCTCGCAGGAGAGTGGGAGAAGCGGGCACACACAAGTAACGTTTAATCCACGGCTGACTGTGAGAAACGCGATAACCTGGGCCCCAGCAATGAGGAGGAGGAATAGGGGAGGCACTATTCCAAGTCAGAACCTCCAGGAGTGTGGAGTTATGGGGTGGGGGCTGGAAGTCGTGGGAAATTTGGGTTTCCCAGTTCTAGCTTCTCCTCCCCTGTGCAGGGAGCAGAGTCCCTGAGGTATCTCCTGTTGCTCTAATTTCCCCATCCCTCTGTGCTCCCCTGGCCCTCAGGCTCTGTCTGGCTCCATCTCCCACTCTCTTCAACTATTCACCTGCCTGTGAGCCTTGACTGGGCCTCCTAGGACTCTCTTCTCCTGGTGGGAAAGACTGCTTCTAACATGGGGGAGGGGTAACTGATCTGAGACCCCCAGCTTCTTGGCAACATGTCTAAGGGAGAGAACCCAGTAAGAGGTAGGCGCAGACACCCACCAGGGCCACCATGTACCTGACCTGCCCTGCTCTCTTCGTCTGGTCTCCTCCCAGCCACCCTCAAGTTCCCTGCCTTTCTGCCCCCACTTGGGTCTTTAGGACTCAGGGGCTTTGTGTCAAAGCTTTCCTGGTGATTTCCCTTGAAACTCCTCCTCCAGCCTGTATTTTTTTTCTACCCTGTCCTCTTTCTAACCAAGATCTCCTTTCCCCACCTTGCTTTGCCTCCACTCCCATTCTCCCCCCTACCCCAACCTTTGTGCGGGTGTCTGTCTTTGTCTCTGTCACACGCAGCCTCTGCCAGGCCCCATCGGTGTGAGTGTGAGCCCCTGTGTGCTCCTGTGCAGCAGACTCCTCTGCTGTCTTTCCAGTGACTGCCTGAGAGTCCCCACATCGGGATGGTGTCTGGAGACAGCAGGGCGGGATCAAAGCAAGGGGGACCTTGCTTTAAAATGCTCAAGGGATTCGCACTCCCTGTGGACAGGAGCTGCCAGGTGGCCAATGACCTGCAGTTGACACGGCTGCAGGAGGCCGGTCTGTTTTCAGATCCCTGTGGTCAGGTCCATCCTGGTTCCCCTCCTACCCTGCTCCTCAGCCTCACCCCCAGCAAGCCAGCCCTTGCATTTCTCTTTGGCACTGGTTTGATTTCCTGGAAGTTGGATTCAGGCGCAGGCACCGCTCTGTGCCCCTGCAAGTGTGTGGTCTGGGGTTTGTGCACATCCTTGTTTGGCTGTTGGTGGTTCTTGGTGCCTCTCAAGACATGCCCAGCACCCCGGTAGCCCCTTTGTGGCTGCAGCACCACTAGGACACCTCTGCCCTTCCTGTTGTGCCCTGTCTCGTGCTTGCCCCAACTGTTCATTTTTCCCTCACAGACCCTCATCTCCTCATTACCCACACCCATCTTTTCACCAGAACCTTCCAGAGTTCTGTTCCCCCACTCTTCCCAGCTTGGCTTCAGGGCCCCCAGGACTGTAATTCTTTCACTGCCGGGGAAACTTCTCCTGACCCTGTTTCTGCCCTGTGGAGTCAGAGTGGGTGCTGGGCCGCTGTCCTTGATGGGGTTCACAAGGCGCGACTGTTCTCTCCAGCATTTGCCTCCTCACTCCACTGATCAACATACTTACTGGGAACACTTCTGTGCCTGGAGGTCAGGCCCAGTGCGAGGTGAGCGGCTGGGGCTAAGTGAAACAGTCCAGACTGAGGGCTTCCCCTGGGCAGGAGGGCAGTGCATTATGGATGGACTATAGCAGAGGTGATGAGGAGTGAGTTACTCAGGTCTCTGTGGGCCTGCTGGCAAGTCATGGAAGACTTCACAAAGGAGATGACACTTGATCCCCAGGAGTGGAGGGAGCAGCGTCCCACCCAGGGAAAGTTGGGGCTGAGCTTGCAGTGTGTGCGCAGAGGATGGGCCTTGGTGAGGCAGGCGTGGGGCACTGGCCAGCCAGGTGGGGAACAGAGGTGGGCTTTCTGGACTCTACCTCACGCACTGGCCTGACTGCAGGGACTGTTTGGTAGCCAGGAAACACTGCCTGTGACTTCCACAGGCTCAGGGCTACCTTTTTATCCTGTTAAATTCCAGAGACCCCCTCCCTTCCCCTCCTCTCTGAATTCTCTTCAGGCTTCCATCCCCCTATCTCCAGTCTAAATTGTTTCAACCAGACCTAAACCAAGAGGGAATTTTACCTCCAAATCCCTAAGATGACAGATACCACCTTGATTATCACAGCCCTGCTCAGGCTTCCAGTCACCCCTCTAATTATCTAACTGCCCAGGGTAAATAAGGGCCTTAAGCTACCATTTAGTGGGCACGTGCCAGAGGACGTCCTAGGCAGGTCATACACTTCATCCTATTAACGGTCACAGTAGTCCAGGAGTGGGTCTCATCACCCCCAGTTCACCAGTGATGAAATGAGGTTTGGAGAGCAAGTCATTTGGCCGTCCCCTGGTAGGAAGCGGCAGGGAGCTCTGCAGAACTGTCTGTCTCCTAAACCTGCGCTCTTGAAAAGGACCTTTGCAGTTTTTGGTCCAGACTTGTCATTGTACAGGTGAATGAAGGAGGCCTAGAAGGGGAAGCCACACTCCCAAGGTCACATGGCTCCCCCCTCTATCACGAGACCCTCTGACCCGACTATAAGAGCTTCCCACATTGGGTCCTGCTGCAGGGTGAGCTGCCTCCTTGAGAAGGAACCAAGGTCTCACTGTGCTCCCCAGATTGCCACACGAGATCGGGAGTTCAGGCCCTCACGCAGCAGGAAAGCTGTGAATCTAAATTCCCTCCCTGAGGTAGGGTTCACAGGCCACTTCACTCCCAAGCCCTTGACTTGGGCTCAGGGGGCCATGGGAAGGAGAACCATGAGTGTGGAGTTTGCAGCATGTATCTGCACTAGAGAAATGCGCAAGGATATGAATAAATTTGAATAATAATGAGGACAATGCCTGAATTAATAATGCTGGCTGCTCACCTGACCCACCTCCTCCCCCAGGATCTCAGCACCTGCCACCCTAGTCCCTGGAAGTATGGAGGAAACTTATCCTTTGCTTCTTTAGAAGGCATGGATGGGCTGTCAGGTCAGCAGAGTTGGGGAGCAGCTCAAGAAGTGGGGGGGGCTGTTCTAACTTCTTGACAGTGCAGACGCAGAGAGCTGAACTGGCACTCTAAACAAAAAGAGGCTGCCTCTTTGTAGTAGACCTTATGCTAGCCATCAGTCCACTCCCAGCCTGACCCCTCCTTCTTAACCCCCTTTATATGCAGCCACCAATGTGGATGTCAGATATACAGGGTGAGTGACAGGAGGGAGGCAGCCTGGCGCTTGGCCTTTCAGCAGCGGCTCTCATTCTGGTGTAACAATAGGGCACGTGCACCTTCCCACCTGCTGCCCCCACCCCACGATAGACAGAAACGTGGGCATTGACTGATAGCTTGGGACAGGCAATTGCATGGGCCGAGCTGTGACAGCAGGATTGAGTGACAGCAAACAAGGAGCTAAAGGGATCAATCTAGGAGGGCTTACTGGAAGAGGTAGTGAAATGGAGCTGCAGGTAAAAGATGATAAGGGCATGAGACTAGGTCTTTGCTTCTGTTGGCTTGGACGGGAGGATCTTGGAAGAGGATGCACAAATTCCCCTTGGTTTTACACACAGAAATGATGAGGAATGCAAGAAATTTTGGAAAGTTGAGTTTGAAAAGGTTTGGATTTGGGCCTCTCTGGTGGTGCAGAGGTTAAATCTCAGCGCTATCAAGCTATTTCCAGCCACTGCAGCATGAGTTCGGCCCGGCCAGGGAGCTACCCACATGGCACAGCCGACCTCTCCTGTCTTGCCCACTGCTTCCCTCAGGAGTATATTTCAGTGGATCTACCTGTTTTGCTCCCTACTCTGCCTCTGGTGAATCCTCTCACTCTGTCCCTGTACCTCTGGACTGTACCCAGTGCTTGTATGCATAGATAAATAAATCTTTTTTTTTTTTAAGATGAAATTTATTTATCTGTCTTTTTTTTTTAAGATTTATTTATTTATTTATACAAGCACTGGGTACAGTCAGAAGCGCAGGAGGGCGAGAGAATTCACCAGAGTCAGAGTGGAAAGCAGAGCAGGCAGACTGACGAAGTATACTGCTGAGGGGAGCAGCGGGCAGCAGGAGAGGTCTGCGCGCCATGTGGGACCCTCACCCGGCAGCCGGGGATCCAACCGGCGCTGCAGAGGCTGCGGGCAGCTTCGCAACCCAGCGCTCAACCGCTGCGCCACCGGGGAAGCCCAATAAATAAATCTTTTTAAAAGGGGAGGGGCTGGATTTGGGGATTGTGGTATCTGCAAAGACATAGGGGCTATAGAGAGAAGGAAGGGGGAGGAGTCCCCTGAGTTCTAGAGAAAGCCAATTTGGATTGCAGTGGTGTGACAGATCGGGGACATGCCTAGGAAGCCCCAGACCTCTTCCTTCGCTGTCCCCCATCTGCTCCATCTCCCTCTCTACCCAGGAAGAGGATGCTTATGGCCACAGGCCTGTCCTACCACCCCCCAACCACTGTTGGTTGGAGTGGGTGGGTGTGAGCGGTGGGGGAGAAGAAACCCACAATCCAATTCCCTGCTCCATTTAGGCTCCACAATTAAAGGCAATTACTCTGCAGTTCTCTAATCAAACGCTCCTGGCCAAGCCGAGCTGCCAGCCGGGCAGCCATGTGTAGCTCCCACAGCCGGAGGGAGAGTGGAACAAAGTCATGTGGCTCTCTGCTCCCACTGTGTGGGGTTGAGCCTGTGCGGGGGTGTGCCCTTCTGCCCCCAGCACAGGGAGCAAGGGGGGAACACACAGAACAGGGCCAATGTGGCGGGAAGTGGGTCAGAGCTATGTTGTGTGGAGTGCACCATCACCCCCCAGGCAGCTGCCCCGTGGACGTGCGGACGTGCCTGCTCATAGAATCTGCACTCACTGTGTGTGTTCCTGGGGACTGTCCCTGGCACAGTTGCAAGCGTGTGTTACCACATGCTGGCTACTATAGCACATGTCCAAGTCGGGGCCTGGTGTATTTGTGTCCCAGGGACGCAGGGGTTTGACCTACCGGCAGGGCTTGTTATGGATGCTTCACCTGTTACACAGAGGCAGAGGAGCAACCCAGGACCTGGAGTGCTGAGCTGCAGGTTCCAATCCCCTAACTCACTCTGCGCCCTTAGCCTCACTGTCCCCATCTGTAAAATAGGATGGCTGGACTAGAGGAGTCTCTAAGGCTTTTGTTTGACGCCACACACTGCCAGTGATTGCTAAGCACTTCTGTTCCAGAGGCTCCTCCCTGGCCATGGGGGAGAAATGAGTCAAGATGGAGCAGTGACATCCTGAGGAAGGGGCCGAAGTAGGCCGAGACTGGAGAGCTTACCTTTCCAGCCCTGGACTGTCTCTTTGGCCTGTTGCAGGGTGGGAGTGGGAGCCTGGAAGGGTGATTTCCTGCGCAGCTTCTTCCTCACTCATCTTACCCAGTGCCGCTTTGGCTTTGCCAGGGACCCAGACGCGCTTCAGCCAGGAGCCAGCCGACCAGACCGTGGTGGCTGGGCAGCGGGCCGTGCTCCCCTGTGTGCTCCTCAACTATTCGGGGATCGTGCAATGGACCAAGGACGGGCTGGCGCTGGGCATGGGTCAGGGCCTCAAAGGTGAGTAGGGCGCCGAGCCAGCCCAGCATGCAGACTGTCCCATCTTTGCTCCCCTTGCCTATGGCATCCACCCCACACTCAACACCCCTGTACTTCTCACACTCCTTCCCTGCGCTCCAGCCTCTCCCATTGTATGTGTTCAATATCTCCACTGCTTCCCCCCACCCCCCACCCCATACCTCTGCCTTTCCTCCTGACCATGGACTGGCTCAAGGAAGGCAACAGAACACTTAAGAAATCCAGGGAAAATAAGAGACCTTCACACAAGAGACCTTCAAACAGACAGACATACCAGGAGAGGAGCTGCAGGCAGACGGGCGACACAGGGGGTGCTGAGAGAGGGGTCTCCTGAAAGAACAGGAGAGCACAGCCCCTTCTGTGTTGCCGGGTTTCATGCCTGCTGGCCTTGCTCCAGCCTTTCCTGCCCCTGCCCAGGCCATATCTGCTCAGAAGCCAAGAACTCCTTTTAGTATCAGCCAGGGCACTTATTTATTAATTCATTTAACAGGCCTCTGTGAAACACTATGTAGCCAGTGCAGAAGTGAGTCCTTAAAAAAAAAAAGACAACAAAAACCCAATCTCCTATGTTCCCAAACAAGTAAAGATACTTTTTGGAAAGGGCACCTGGCAGAGTGGATGAGTTAGGACACCTGAGGTCTAGCCCTGCCCCCCTACCTACCAGGGGTGACCTCAGGAAAGCCACTTCACCCCCGGGGCCTTGGTTGACTCGTGTGTTACAGACACCGGCCTGCCTGCCTGCAAGTGGCGTTGTGAGTTGTGGACCAAATAAAAGAATACACTTTGTAAAAACACATTGTTCACTGTAGAACAGTAGCATGATTGAAGTACAGGAAGGATTGTATATTTTTATTCTTATTGTCCAGGGTGGGTGGGAGGTTAGATTATTTGCTATTTCCATATCTTAGTACAAGTAGAGGGAATTTGTCTGTATAATCTGGGTAAAGGAAAGAGATGAATCTGGTGGGTCTATTGATAGAAAGAGAAAGAAACTGGGAGAGAGAGCAATCAATAGATATGGAGTGAGAAGAATCGATAGCCTTTGGACAGAGGGAGGTAATGGGAGGGAACGGATGGTGGGGAAGGAGTAGGAGTGCAGGGGTGTGAGGGTTGCAGAGAGCCTGGAGGAAGGAGGGCTCTGGAAACTGACTTGGGGGCTCAGAGGGCCCCCTGCCACGACATGGCTTTCATGAGACAGGGTTAGGGGAGCTGGCAGAGAGCTGGCAGGACCCCACTCGTCCATTCTGCCCTTGGTGAGGGAGAGCCCTGTGGCCTGCCCCCAGCTCCCTCTGGCCCATGAGCTCACCGTCTGTGCTGCATGCCCTATATTTCCTAGCACCCACACACCCTCCCTCTCTCTCCCTCTCCTTTCCTCCCTGCTGTCTGCCTCCCCCCTCCCTTCTTTCCTATTATTATGAGAGACATTTGTCTGCAAACAGCTTTGGAGATTTCATCTGCTCTTGTTTATTTCCCCCTGCCCCCCACCACCACTCGCTCCTCCCTCCAGCTGTAAGGCTCCCAGCCTCACAGAAGGAGGCTGTGACACCGGAGGGTCTGTACCTGGGACTGCCCGTGGGGTCCCAGAACAGGGTGGAGGGAGGAGTGAGTGCTGCCTGCGAGGCTGAGAAGTGGGGAGAGGATGTGCCCTGGGGGCTGATTCTAAGATGAGGGCAGCTCCACTTTCTGTCTCTGCAGCCTGGCCAAGGTACCGGGTCGTGGGCTCTGCGGATGCCGGGCAATACAACCTGGAGATCACGGACGCCGAGCTCTCTGACGATGCCTCCTACGAGTGCCAGGCCACGGAGGCTGCCCTGCGCTCCAGGAGAGCGAAGCTCACAGTACTCAGTAATGACCCAGCCCAGAGGGCACCCTCCTTCCTGGCTCTCTCCAGCACCTGGCAGCCCTCACTTTCTCCAGTTACCTCTTTTATTCTCCCTCTCTTTTTCAGGGCCCACTAATCCCTCTGTCTCCTCAGTTTTCCCTCCTAATACCTTTTTATAACCTTCTTCCAAAGCCAAGTCCAGAGAGAAGGGAGCAGAGCAGACTCATGGGCATTAAGTGGTGGGTTGGTGGGCTGTGTGAGGGCTGGCATCCTCTTTGCGCCAAAGACTGGGCTCTGCCTTCTGGACACACAGCTCCCCCAGAGTGGAGGGAGTTGACATGATGGGGACCTGGTCCCCCACTTTCTCAGCCTCTCCCCCACAGCTGTCCCGAGGCCCAGACATTGCCCCTTTTGCTCCTCACTCACTCCCCTTTGCTGCCTCCTTTCCTCCCTCATCAGCTCCCCTCCTCCTGGGATTCACCTTGGGAACAGAGGAGCAGGACTGGAAGGAAGGGCCTCAAGGGCTGAGACCTGGGGGATTTAGGGGTGTGGGTGCGGTCCAGGCTGGAGGTCAAGCTCCAGGCTGCGGCCCACAGGCACAGAGCAGATACGCTATGTGGTACCACCTGGGGCCACTGGCACAGCGAGAGAATTGCCTGGGGGTACAGAGCAGCGTGAGACCTGAGGCATGCTCCTCAACTCGGTCCTGCTCGCAGCGTGAGACCTGAGGCATGCTCCTCAACTCGGTCCTGCTCCTCAACTCTCCTACCTCTTCCATGCCCCTCATCCGTTGGCACCTCTGGCTCCATTAGTCTTTCTGGCTCCCACAAGCTCTGCTACTCTCCCTGGGCCTGTCTGCTTATGGACCTCTCTCTAGCCTTTTGTCATCAACTCTCCCTTTCTTTCTGCCTCCATTTGAGCTGTCCTGTCCTCTCTCTTTTTCCTCCCCAAACCTGGTCCACAGAAGTGGGACATATCCATGGGAGGGATGTGGAGAGGAGCTAGGAGCTGAGATGCACATGGATACAAGTTTTTTGGGGGGTAAGGAGGGGAGCAGAGAATGTGACAAGTGTCTGGAAGAGGCCTGGACTGGGAGTCAGGCAATCTGACTTTTCGGGCACCATCTCCTGAAGAAGTCACGACCCTGGATGTCAGTTTTCTCACTGGCAATATGGCATAATGGTGCCAGTCGTTTCTAGCAGCTGCCCCTTGCCACTCCCTGAGCGGGGATCTGTACACTGTGAAGGTCTGGGAAAATGTGCGGTACCAAAATGAGTACAGATTGGACACCCAGTTCTGTGGTGTCAATGGCCCTCGAGGCCTGTGGCGGACTTGTTTTTCCTCCCTGGTGAGGACAGCATAGGAAGGACTAGCAGAAGCAGGATGTAGGTTTGGGGTGCGCAGATGCCTAGACATGATGGCACTCAATGGCCATCGAAGGTGTTTGAGGAAGGAAGCTGCTCTCTAGAGAAAAATAACTTGGCCTCAGTGAGTCCACATGAGAGTGCTGTCACCTACCCACCTATGTGGCTGCCCCGGGCAGAAGTTGCTGAGGGAGGGGAGTGTCAAGAGCCTGGAGGAGCCACTTCCTGTCCCATGGTCCCTAGGTGTGAGCTGCACTCAAGCCCTGAGATGCCTAGCCCTTTCCTAGCTGCAGCGGCCAGCCTTGAGCAATGATGGGTGATAGCACAAGTTAAATGGGACAGGCTGGGAAAATGATGGATGGGGGCTGGGAAGCCATGCCAGCTACAGACCTTGGGGGAAGCCACCACAGGAGCAATGGATATAGTGATTGTAAGTTAGGGGGTCAGGGTGACCCACCCTGCCAAGGGGTGCAGAAGCAAAAGAAGGGGTGCCATTAGGGGCAGGGGTTTTGGTCTTCGGGGCAGTTGGACTGACTTTGCTCTGCTTTTCCCCCTCAGTCCCCCCAGAAGACACCAGGATTGATGATGGGCCTGTAATTCTGCTGCAGGCCGGCACCCCCCACAACCTCACCTGCCGAGCCTTCAATGCCAAGCCTGCTGCCACCATCATCTGGTTCCGGGACGGGACACAGCAGGAGGGCGCTGTGGCCAGCACGGTGAGGTCCACCTCTCCTCAAGCTTCTCTTGGGCCTCACCCCAAGTTTCCTTTTCTTTCCCACTTGTGTTTAGCCATGAGCTCAGGGAAGCAGATGTGACAAGGGGCCTTAGAAGTCATCTGGTCTAGTCCTCACCTTATACAATTTGCTAAAATTGAGGCCTAGAGAAAAGAAATGAGTTCCCACATTCACAGTGCCATTTAGTAGCCGAGCAGAGTCTAAGAATAATACTGCTAATAGCAGCATTGATTAAGCTTCTACAGTATGCACTATGCATCCTAAGCTCTGCATGGACAGTCTCAATCCCCATCAGAGTTTCATAAGGCAGAAGTTATTTCTGACTTACAGAGGGAGCTGACGGTCAGAGAGGTGAGTGTTTGCCTGAGGTCACACAGCTGGCACGGAGCAGAGCTGGGGTTGACACCTGAGTCAGACTGCGCCCTCTCTCTACAGGGCACATTGTCCCAGCTGTCAGTGAGGCAAGGAGCACTGTGTACATTTTACAGATGAGGAACCTGTGCTGAGAAAGACATCAAGTGATCTGCCCAGGGTCATGTGTGAAGTTGACGGTGGACCTAGAATTAGAATTCAGCTCTCCTGTTCGGGTTCCATCTGCTAGTGTGAGCAAACATATGTGTGTACCCAGCCTCTTGCCAGGTGTTGCAGAGAGCTGTAGGGAGAGCAATAGCTCACCTGTGATCACAGGCTGCAATCTCAGAGATTAAATCTGTCCTTGACATGCTGTGTGACCTTGAACAGTGCACTTCTCTGTGGCTTTAGTGTCACCATTTGAGAAATAAGAATTTGGCCTCGGTGGTGCTTTACCCTTTTCATACCTAGAAAGCTGTTATTTTTTCTCTAGGGTTGCATGTTTTGCAATATTTTGGCTAAACCAAACAAGCTGACTTGTTAGTGGCCATTTGTTATCCACCCCCCTTTTTATATTCAGTAAAGATGATGGGGCTTTGAAGCAGCACAAGGGAGCAGCGTACTGCATCGAGCCAGTACATCCCAATCTAGCAGGCACCTGTGTATTGCTGTCACATTGTGGGCCTTATTTTGGTTATTAGGATGAGTTTCCTTAGTCAGTTTGCAATTCGGAAATAGTTCAATGGCTTCTTTGACTATATTTGGGGCCTCAGGTTGGCTACCACTAAGCCAGTGTGAGACTTTGATACTGGGTCCCTTCTCTGCCTTCAAGGATTTATGGTCTAGCAGGGGAGACTCAACACTGGCATTCTGACACAGGTGCCCAAGAGGTTAGGCTGGGCATGAAGACCCTCTGACCTTGGGCATGTCCAGGCTGGAAGAGTCCTGAGGGCTGAGAGGCCAAGGCAGACTCTCCAGAAGAGGAGGGACTTGATCTGGACCCAGATAATTACAGGAATGAGACTCAAAACCTTGGGGGAAAACTGGAAAACACAGAGAGTGGACTCTGATGTAAACTGTGGACTTTTGTTATAATAATGTGCTGATATTGGTTCATTGTTTGTAACCCATGCATCACACTAACACATCAAGTTGATTAATAGTACGGAAGTGCTAGGGGTGGGGAGAGCATACAGAAACTCTATTTTCTACTCAATTTTTCTGCAAACTTAAAACTTCTCTAAAAAATAAGGTCTATTAAAAACAAAACCAAATCTGGGGAAGAGGCTGGGCAAGGGGAGGGGCTGATTATCAGGTCAAAGTGCCCTTCAGGGCCTCCCTGGTGGCACAAAGAGTTAAGGCTCAGCACTATGAAGCTATCTGTAGCCACTGCAGCATGAGTTTGATCCCCAACCAGGGAGCTACCACATGGCACGGCAGACCTCTCCTGTCTAGCCTGCTGCTCCCCTCAGCAGTGTATTTCAGTCAGTCTGCTTGTTCTGCTCCCCACTCTGTCTCTGGTGAATCCTCTCACAGCTCCCGCACCTCTGGCTTGTACCTCAGTTCTTGTATGCATAAATAAATAAATCCTTAAAAAAAAGTGTCCTTCAGTGCAAGTCCAGTAAATCTGACAGCAGAGTAGAAGCTTTTAACTTGACCTGTGCCCCATCCTCGCCCCCACAGGAACTGCTGAAGGATGGGAAGAGGGAGACCACTGTCAGCCAGCTGCTCATCAACCCCACAGACCTGGACATCGGGCGTGTCTTCACGTGTCGCAGCGTGAACGAGGCCATCCCGACTGGCAAGGAGACGTCCATTGAGCTGGATGTCCACCGTGAGCAGGGGCCTGGGGAGGAGCTGAGGGGCGGTGGAAGGGTGGGCAGCACCACAGCACCTTTGAGAAGCACGGAAGAGTCTCCCCGAGGCTTCATCAGCTCCGGCACATGAAAGCCAGCATGTGATTTTGGGCAACGACTTCATCTCTCTGAGCCTCAGTTTGCAATTCTATATACTTGCAGAAAATAAAATTTGCAGGACTTACCCCTATCCAAAATTTGAAACCTGACGCTATTTGGAGGCGAAACTTGAACCAAGGCTCTTGGAGTTTTTATTTAGCCCACTTACTGTAACTAGTCACGTTTCTCTGCGAGTGTGTTAATGTGGGTAACTCTGGGGTGTTGCCGGGGGTCTTTTTTACATAGTAAACAGTCTATGCACACCGTTACCTTTCTAAAATTTGGGGGGGGGGAATCCAAATTCTGAAAGACAACTAGCTCCAAAGTCTCCAGATAAGGGGGGTGGCGCTGTACCTGCTTCTTTATTAAATGAGACTCAGTGTAAGAGCATGGAGTGAATAGTTTGCTACTGGTAGGTGCTGAATAAATCCCCTCCACCTAAGGAAGGTGGGCGATGCCCCACCCGGTCCTTCAGTGAACCAAGCGAGCCCACACTGACGCCTAGTGGCCTCAGTGGGGCATCACACCCACTGGTAACTCCCTCGGCTTCTTCCTGGGTCTTCACCCGAGCGCGCCCCCTAGAGGCTCTCCAGGGTAGAAGGCAGGAAGAGGGCTGATTTGTCGGAGCTGGTGCACGCGAACTCAAATTCCCAGATCACCGCACAGTGGTGAGGGCAGTGACTGGAGAGAAAAAGAGGAGAGAAAAAGAAAGAGAAAATGAGAGAAAAAGAAACTTGAGGGATAGAAAAGCCCCTGACTTACTGTCCCTGCTTTGCAGACCCTCCTACGGTGACCTTGTCCATTGAGCCACAGACGGTGCAGGAGGGCGAGCGTGTCGTCTTCACGTGCCAGGCCACGGCCAACCCCGAAATCCTGGGCTACAGGTGCGGGGTGGGGTGGGGAGCACCCTGGGGAGACACAGAAGAGGCCCTGGAGTCAGGAGCACCGCGGGTCCAGGGCGGGCAGTGCCGCTGCCTGCGGGGAGGGGTCAGGCCTGAGCCCCTCTGTGTTGCCCCTCCCCCAGGTGGGCCAAAGGGGGCTTCTTGATTGAAGACGCCCATGAGAGTCGCTACGAGACCAATGTTGATTATTCCTTCTTCACGGAGCCTGTGTCCTGTGAGGTCCACAACAAAGTGGGGAGCACCAACGTCAGCACCTTAGTGAACGTGCACTGTGAGTTCTGCCAGGGCTGGGCTGGCCGCGCAGGACCTGTGGGGGGCCGGGCACCGCGGGTAGGCAGGAGCGCAGTGCAGGAGGAAGGGAGGCGGCAGACTGAACCCCATGCCTGCAGACGCCAGCTATTTGTTCCCTTCCACCCCAGTTGCTCCTCGGATTGTGGTTGATCCCAAACCCACGACCACAGACATTGGCTCTGATGTGACCCTCACCTGTGTCTGGGTTGGAAATCCCCCCCTTACCCTCACCTGGACCAAAAAAGACTCAAACATGGTAAGTCACTTCTGCACGTCCTGTGTGCTGGGAGCATGGCCCCTGGGGGCAGGTGGCAGGGGAGGGCATGGCTTTCTTCAAGTTGAACCTGGGATGTTTGTAGTGTCTTGGGATTTGAAGAGAAACAGTGCTTGCAGTCACCCCTCCAGTGGCCAGTCCAGTGGTGGTTGGGGGGGGCAAGCTGTGGGTGGGAGGAGGGCAGCGGCTGGAGGCTGAGCAGCTGCAGGGGCAGGAGACCCCTCAGGAGTGCTTCCTGCTGGAGAGGCAGGGGTTCACTAGAGAACTGTGAATTCTGCAGCTGGATACAGAAGTCCCTTAGCTAGTTCAGGCCAAAACCATGGGAGGAGGGGTTTTAGAGCTAGCTTCTTTGGCAAGGAAAGTTCTAGAACAGAGCATCAGAAGGTGTCGCTGCAGTTTTACCTGCTTCCCTGGCCACCATCATCTCTGCCTACTCTCTCAAAGGTGGTGGTTTAAATGGGGTTGACCACACAGACTTGGGGCCTGTTTCCCTTCCGGGAATTCACTGTGGCCCTTCCTGCTTTCTTTCCAATGCCTCCGGTGTGGGGCCCACACGGACCTAGGGGCCCAGGCCTCCTGGCTCCCCACCCGAGGCTGCTCTCTCTGCCCAGGTCCTGAGTAACAGTAACCAGCTGCTGTTGAAGTCGGTGACCCAGGCAGACGCGGGCACCTACACCTGCCGGGCCATCGTCCCTCGGATTGGGGTGGCTGAGCGGGAGGTGCCACTTTACGTGAACGGTGAGTGTCCTGAGAGGGGCTGGGGCAGGGTGGGTGTGTGGCTCCAACTGGCCCCGACTGTGTCTTCTGCTCGCAGGGCCCCCCATCATCTCCAGTGAGGCGGTGCAGTATGCTGTGAGGGGTGATGGAGGCAAGGTGGAGTGTTTCATCGGGAGCACGCCACCCCCGGACCGCATCGTGAGTGCAGACGCGGACCTGGGGTCTGGGGGCCCTGGCCGCCCGCTTCTCCACCCAGCTGCACTCCACCTGCTCTCTCTGCCTCCCGTCCGTCTGCTGTCCCTTTCTTTTTTTGACACTTCTCTCTCTTCCTTTGACTTTTTTATCCCTCTGTCCCCTCCCTGCTCAAATGCCACCTCCTCCCTTACTTGTCGTGTGACCCTGAGCAAAGTAGCTTTTCCTCACCCATGAAGTGGGAGCAGTGATCCCTGCCTCACAGGTTGCTGGAAGGTGGTTGCAGCCACAGCTGTAGGGGGCTGGCCGAGCCCCCCAATTCATTGTTGGCTCCCCTTGGCTGACACTCTTGCTCCCTCTTCTCGATCATCTTCCTTCCCTTTCCCCAGTCCCCTAATCTTTTCTAGGTCTTTCCTCTTCCCGCTCCCCCCAACTTGCCCCTGCAGGAGCTCCACCCAGTCCACACTTCTCTCCTTTCTCCCACCTCCTCTGCCAGTCCCCTCACCATCCTCCTCCCCCCTCCTTTCTCCTCTTCCCCACACCATGAGCTATTAATTCCTTCCGTGGCCATTAACCGTCAAACCCCTCATCACATTTAATGACCATTTGGCTAACTCCAGGGCTGCCCAGGGACACTTCATTACCACGGCCGCCCAGGCAGCAGGCAGATGGGCTCCCGGGGGCCTCTCCTCGCAGGACTGGGAGGATTGATCCCTGGACTAGAGCCAGTTCTCAGCTGCTCCCCTCCCTTGGGCTCCACTCTGAGGGAGGGCACAAAGAGGGGGATGCCAGCCTGGGAAGTCAGGGTGATCGAGCCTGTGGTGTACCTGTGGCAAGAGCATACGGCAAGTGGGCCAGGTGGGCATCTGTGGGTTGGCGAGAGGTCAGGCTGAAGACTGAGTTATGTTTAGTCAGAATCTCAGCCCGTCCATGCTGGAGGGGCCCTGAGCACCATATAGTTCAAGCCTCATCCTTTCATTTAACAGAGGTCCGGAGAGGGGAGGACGTACGTACCACACAGGGACTCGCGGGCAAGCCCTTACATATTTAACTGCCTGTCCAGGGCTTTTTCTCCCTCACCCAGGGTTCCCAAATGTGGAGTCATTGGATCAGCTGCAGCCACAGCTGATCAGTCACACTGGATCATTATAAAAACAGAGATTCCTGCACTTCTTTTTTTTTTTTTTAAGATTTATTCATTTATGCGTACAAGAGCTGGGGTACAGGCCAGAGACGCAGGGGGTGAAAGGATTCACCAGAGACAGAGTGGGGAGCAAAACAGGCAGACTGACCGAAGTACACTGCTGAGGAGAGCAGCGGGGAGACAGGAGAGGTCTGCTATGCCATGTGGGTTGCTCCCTGGCCGGCCAGGAATCAAACTCATGCTTGAGAGGCTGCAGATTGCTTCATAGTGTGGTGCTCAACCCCTTGCGCCACCAGGGAGGCCCCCACTTCTTTTATTTTTAGGAGATAAGTCCTGAGAATCTATATTTTATAGAATGTCCTTAGACATTTGGGAGCCACTGCTTCTGCTAGACTGGAAGTTGAGTGCCAAGGTTTTGGCAGTAGTTGTGACTGTTGGTCTGTTTCAGTCTGGGCTCAGGCAAGGGTGCCATGAAGGTGAGGCCTGCCCTTTCCTTACCCCTTCCTCCTCCCCTCTCCAGGCCTGGGCATGGAAAGAGAACTTCCTGGAGGTGGGAACCCTGGAACGCTACACAGTGGAGAGGACTAACTCGGGCAGTGGGGTGCTGTCCACGCTCACAATCAACAACGTCATGGAGGCCGACTTCCAGACCCACTACAACTGCACTGCCTGGAACAGCTTTGGGCCAGGCACGGCCATCATCCAGCTGGAAGAGCGAGGTGACGGGTGCACCGCCATGTAACGGGGTACAGAGCAGTGGGGTGCTGCTCCCCTCTCCTGGGGCAGAGCTCACACGAGGCAGCTCCCACCAGCTCCCACCAGTGCCTGACCTTGGTGCTGAGCTGGGGAAACCCACTCACTGTTCTAGACGTTTACAGATCATCTGCTCTGACTTGGCCTGCGCACAGGCTGCAGGGACACCACGTAGTCCTTGCCCCCTAAGGACGGGCAGCTTAGTGGGGACACTCAGAGTGGCAGCAGTAGCTTCACATGGAGACAAGTCAAACGGTCTGTGAAAGGGAGGAGCGCCACCCACCTTTTGGGGCTTTGTGACGATTAAACGAGAGAATATTTATAGAACACCTGGCGTACAGCCAGCGCCCAGTAAGTCTTGGCTCCCCCACCTCTTCACAGCTCCTTAGTCTAGTAGGGGAGACACGTGCCCTCCCTCAGGCCCCTCCAGCCTGATAAGAGCGCCCACACCTTCCGCTTCCCAAGTCTGATAAGAGGAAGAGACATGCTTTTTTTTTTTTTAGAAATAGCCATTTGACCAGGGAGAAGGGGCAAATAACTGGGATCCATCATCCATTCAGTCTTAGTTGAGAATGCCAGCAGGGGGGTGGTGGGAAGAGCAGAGTAAGGCAGGACGCTGCGGGAGAGGCTTTCTGGAAGGAAGAGGCTTGTGTGGATCTGCTCAAGGAGCACTGCCAGGAAGAGAGGAAGCTGGAGGCAGGTTTTCAGTGCTTCTCTTCTGGGGAGCAGGGGCCACTTGGGAGGACTGTTTGAGGCCTGAGTGGGTAGATGCAGACAGGGAAGGCACATGGTTGTAGATGGGGAAGGCTGTGAAAAGGGTTGGGACACAGGTGGCAGAAAGGTTGTGGAGCCAGTAGACCTCAAAGAAGCTGAGGAAGAAGTCTAGCCTCGCAGGCAGGAGGGGCTAGGAAGGGACCACAGACCACCAAGGCAAGTCCAGTTATGCTCTGGCTGCAGGGAAGACACGTGACCATGACCCCAGCTCTGATCAGGCTGAAACTCGGGCCTGAACCAAACGCAGGGCAGCCCGTCCTTTCACACCCAGCTCTGGCCTGACCCAGCACTGCCCGCAGCTCCGCTGAAACATGGCCCTTACACAGTCCAGGGAGGCCAGAAGAGCTGGTGGTGGCCTAAATGTCAGCACTGAGCTCAGGTCCACGCGTGACTCCATCCTCACCCCTGCCCCTTTCCTCCTCTCCTCTGAAGAGGTGTTACCTGTGGGCATCATCGCCGGGGCCACCATCGGTGCGGGCATTCTGCTCATCTTCTTCTTCATCGCCCTGGTGTTCTTCCTCTACCGGCGCCGCAAAGGCAGTAAGTACGGCACCCTCTCCTTCCAGGATCCCCACAGTAGTGACTGGGGAGGCTGGGGGTTGGGCAGGTGCGCTCCCAAGCCCCAGTGGGTCCAGAAGCAGCCACCACAGGGCTGGCACAAACGTCCAGGCTGCTTCCCTGTGCCAGGCCGCAAGGATGTCACCCTGAGGAAGCTGGACATCAAGGTGGAGACAGTGAACCGAGAGCCGCTAACCATGCACTCTGACCGGGAAGACGACACTGCCAGCGTCTCCACAGCCACCCGAGTCATGAAGGCCATCTACTCAGTGAGTGTCCTGTCGTCCTGGCTCACCTCACCCCTGTCCTCAAACAATTACTGTCACTCTCCTCCGTCAGCCTCCCATGGTCCTTACACACACGTGCACACACACGTGCACAGCACACACTCATGCATGCATGCATGTACCATCTCGTGCATGTGCTCGCCCTCACACACATGTACCACATGTGCAGTCTCACATGTGTGCACACACTTGCACCCCAACTTATCACTCAGTTTCCTTCAGCAAAGGATAGGAGGGTGGGGGGGTTCCCATAACCTTCCTTCACCCCATGCTTTCCCTACCGAGTCAATGCTGGAAACCCCTAGAAGTTTTCTGGTGCCTCTCCACTATGATGAGGACACATAGCCCCAGAGGGCCAGCAGCACAGCAAGGCCACATTGCACATCAGCAGCAAAACTGGGGCTGGAGCCAAATCTCTGGCCTCTTCCCACCACATCCCAGAGCCCCTGCAGGGACAGGACAGAAATCAAGCCTGCCCTTGACCCACTGCCTCCGGGCTAGGCCGGGGCTGGCAGGGAAACAGGCAGGCTATCTCCTGATTCTCTACTCCTGCTGCTCTGCAGTCCTTTAAGGATGATGTCGACCTGAAGCAGGACCTGCGCTGTGATACCATCGACACGCGGGAGGAGTATGAGATGAAGGTGGGAAGGGGAAGCAGGGCTGGCAGGAAAATGGGGTTCCCATGGCCCGCAGGGTGGAGAAGAAGGCAGTTTGGGGAGGAAGGGATGGGAGGTTTAGTGAAGGAATAGAGGAGGTGGAGAGGCACTGGCTGGAAGACAGACCAGGGCCAGGGGAAGAGGCCCCGAGGGCCATGATGAGACGTGGCACATCCCCCGGGGGCTCCTTCCTCATCCTCTTTTCTCATGTCGTCCAGGACCCCACCAATGGCTACTACAATGTGCGTGCCCACGAGGACCGCCCGTCTTCCAGGGCAGTGCTCTATGCTGACTACCGTGCCCCCGGCCCTGCCCGCTTCGACGGCCGCCCCTCCTCCCGTCTCTCCCACTCCAGCGGCTACGCCCAGCTCAACACCTACAGCCGGGCCCCGGCCTCTGACTACGGCCCTGAGCCCACACCCCCCGGTCCTGCTGCCCCAGCTGGCGCTGACACCACCAGCCAGCTGTCCTACGAGAACTATGAGAAGTTCAACTCCCATCCCTTCCCCGGGGCAGCAGGGTACCCCACCTACCGACTGGGCTACCCCCAGGCCCCGCCCTCCGGCCTGGAGCGGACCCCTTATGAGGCTTATGACCCCATCGGCAAGTATGCCACAGCCACACGGTTCTCTTACACCTCCCAGCACTCGGACTACGGCCAGCGGTTCCAGCAGCGCATGCAGACTCACGTGTAGGGCCGAGCCTGGACGGGCATCTCTGCGGGCAGAGGAGAAGGCTCTCACAGCTTTCCCTGATATTCAGGGGCATTGCTCCTCACTCCTGCCCTGGACCAGCCTTCCTCGTCCTGCTGTGGCAGGTGGGGAGCAGGTCTCCCGGAAACACCCCTTCCTGAGGATGGTGCTGTGTGTGCACCCCACCTCCTAGGCCTGCCCTTCCCTCTTCTTCGGGAGGATGTGTCTCTTCTGACCTGTGTTGTCACCTGGCCCGGCATGGGGACAGGAGGCGAAGGTTGTGGAGAGCAGAGGGGGCAGTTTTTAGCATTCCCTTTCTACCCCACCCCTCTGGTCTCCTGTAAGTGGACAAAGGGTGGTGCGAGATGTGTGGGCTCAGGCCTGGGGGACGGACGGTGTGTGGTGGCTCTGGCACAGACAGATGGAAGCAGGATGGCCCGGCAGGCCTTTGGCCGACTAATTCATGCTCTAGGTGTGTCTCCCTCTTTGGGACTGCAGAGCGACCCTGGCATTATATCAGCTGTCTAAGGCAGCACTGAGGCCAGAGCCAAGCCCCATTCAGCTTGGGTTAACGTGCCGGTCATCCTGGCTGCCCACCATGGGCTCCTGTCCCTCACATGCGGGGGGAGCCAGGTATCTCTGGTCGTGCTGCCTCCTTTCCTTCCCCTTCACGCTGCCCCAGATAAGTTGGGGCGCTGTGGTGAGGAAAGATCAGGAGCCATGTCCCTGTTCACCAGCAAGACAGCAGGATGCTGCACAGTGGTTTCCAGAACCCGTACCAGAGGGACCCCACCCAAGCTCTCTCCTCTCCCTGATCCGCCCCACTCCCTGGCTTTCACTCAAGCCTGCCTGGAAGGGGTGAGGGTGAGGGTGCTATAGGCTGTTTCTCAAAGACAGTGAAAAACATTGAAAACCTCATTTGGAAAAAAGAAAAAAAAAAATCCCCCCCAACCAAATGCAAATCTGTGGAAAGGAAAGGATCACCTGTCTTCTCTTACCCGATTCCTAACACCTTCCATTATTCTTCAGCCTCCAAGCACTTTGAATCTACATTTAAACATTTAGGTGGTGAGACCTGTCACCATGGGCTCTGAGGATTTAGGGAGGGGGCCTGGCCCCCAGACTCTGCTGCCCTACTCTTGGGTCCATCAGCTGCATGGAGGCCACCTAGCAGGGGCCGTCGGAGATGTTTTCTAGACAGGTTTGAGTTGTTTAGTGTCTTTTTTTTTTTTTTTTCCCAATCAGATTCCTTCTTCCACTTTCAGTGCCTTGAGTGTCCAACTTCTGTTGACCGGCCCTGTGTGGGCAGCTGTGCAGAGTGGGCACTTGTGAGTCCCAGACACACTGTCAAGGGTTGCAAAGTTTAGGGGCCAGATGGGTAAGGGGGCCTGGTAAGAGGAAGGCGGCCAGGTGAGGCATACAGAAGGCACGGCAGCTGCGGCTGCTCCCCCCACGCACATACACACATTCCACATGGCCATGCTCAGCCAACACCTTCTGACCAAAGAGAACTGGCACTTGCCCTGCTGTGGGCTCCGCTTCCCAAGCAGCAGAGTCTAAAGCCCACGCTCCCTTTTCTGAACCAGCTCAGCTGCTGGAGCGGGGCCTCCATGCGATTCCCAGAACGTGCTTTGCCCTTTCCCGTGGTCACCAGTCATTAGTCATGTTCGCTTTAACGAGTTACATGCTCATCAGCCATGGGCATCTTCCCCCTCGCGATGGGCCCGTGGGGTGACATTCCCACTGTCCTCTCTGGTAAGGACCACCAGTACCCAGGAAGAAAGCTCTGTTGCAGCCTCACGGCGGCCCTGCACCTGCTGCAACCCTTTCTAAGGTCTGACACCACCGGCCGAGCCTCATATTGCACCCCTGTTAGCTGACACCTTCCTGCTGAGTTCTCTTTCTGTGAGCTTAGTAAGAAGTCTTGTTCACAATGTAGGTACCAGTGCAGATAAATTTTGATTATTTTCACAGAGACCAGAAGCCAGGAGTAACCCAAACAGATAAGATCTAAAGATGGTGGCTTTTAAAATAGGAATTTTCCAAAAACATTCATTTTTGTTTAGGATCTGGCCACATTCTCACATTCTCTCCTTTTTCTTTCTTCCTTTTTGGTTATAGTATTAGGGCTGTTCTGTTGAAATGTTGGAGAGGAGGGGCCCAAGGTCACAAGGTAACCCAGCCAATGCCACAGGAACCATTAGTTTTGGGAATCTTAATGCAGAGCTACTGTACTTACTGTTTCTTCACACATAGCCTGGGCCTGGTGATGTCATGCAGGCGCCAGGCAGAGCACGGAGGCAGCAGCCACCACGGTCTCTGCAGCCTGCACTGTGTTCTGACCTGAATCTGAGTTGGGATCTGCCTGTTGGGCCACACGGAACCTGGGGAGTGGCAGGTGGCCTTGGACCTAGATCTCTGCTAAGACCAGAATCTTCCAGAAAGGTCTTCATGCTCGATGTGGTTGCCTTGGAGACCCTGGTTGCCTTTGATGATGCTTACGGTTTGCTTTAGGAGTTGAGCCGGGAGTCCTGAGATCCAGTGTAAGCTGCTGTTTACCAGGTGGTTTTGGCCTGACCTCTTCACTTTCACTGCCCCCAGTTCTCTGGCCTGCAAGATGCGTGGGGTGGGTCACACAAATCTAGAATTACTATGTTATTGCTGCATTCATTTGGTGAGTGGAGGGGCCTGGTCATGCCTGGCTGGGAGTTGGGAACATAAGTGAGGAGAGTGAGGTATGAGGGAGTTGAAAGTTTCTTCTCTTGAATCTTTCACCATGGCCTTCACCACCTCATAGGGAAGTCATGGATGAATTTCATCTTGGGGCCTCTTGATTCCAAACAGTAATCAGAAGCACACCCTAAACCTCAGTGTGAAATTACTATGGGTTGATTCTTTGGCCTTTCAGTAACTGCTGCTCCCCACTCAGAATCATGACATTTCTGAAAGGTGTCTGTGCCAGGGTAGGGTGCATGAGTCTCCACTGCGTGACCGGGCCCCAGCAGTTTCCTCTATGAGGAGAAATGGGAGTAGCCACCTACTTGGTACCCTGCAGCATTCCCAGGGACAGGCCCCAGGTACTGAGCATCTCACTCCTCTGTGAAGGGGTGGGTCTAAAGGGCAGCTGCAAAGGGAAGAGGGCACAGCCATTTTGACAAACTTTGGATCTTTCTTGGAGAAGTTCTTGTGCTTCTGGGTGAGCCATCTCTTTCCTCACGGTAGGTCCAGTCTGCACCCTTAAGCTGGACCCCTCCAAGTCCAGCCATAGTTTGCATGACGCCAAACACAAGTCTGAAAGGAGGGTGGGCAGGGACAGGTGTACTGCTGTGCTTACTATTCCAGCTTGGGCTGAGCAAGGTTAGCCTGACCCCAGGTCCAGGCACTGAGCCCTCCCTGTCCCATCAGTGCTGCTTCCCTCATGGTTGTGGGGTGACCTTCCTGCTCTGAAGATGGAGCACATACCTGGAGTCTCTGGCCTCCTGCACCCTCATTAACCATGGGCACTCCGTCAGGGCCCTTCAAATGGAATTAAGGGCACAGTCCTAGCTCCTTCAAATGGAATTAAGGTCTTGGGTACTTGACCCACATATAGCAATGTGGACCATTCAGGTTTGCAGGAAAACCCACTAAAGTTAAGACCCCAGTTGGACTGAACTGACTTAAAATATGCCTCACTGCCCTGTGGACATCTGTCCCTGACCCTTCTGCTCTACTCGCAAGGCCATGCCAGTCTCAGAAACCCTGGCTTTCCACCATTTAGTGCTGTGCGCCCTGAGTCAGGGCACTGCTCCGTGTCTCTGTGGGCCGATCTGTATGTTGAAGGAGTCATCTGAAAGGCATTAGTGATGCTCCTGACCCTGGGAGGAGGCGGTAACGCAGCACCAAAGTGCACAGACCAAGGGATGTAATTGGAAATGCATTTATTTTTGTGAAGAAGCTATAAAATTAGCATTTAAGTATCCCATTTCCTTCTTTCCTCCCCATGCCACCCTCCCCCCCAACCTTCCATGGTATCATTGCCCTGTCCTGGAGGCCAGCCTGTTTCTGAAAAGCATTGGCCTCACCTTGATCTCCTGGTCCTGGCATTTGGCCTCAGGGCTGGTGGAGAAGAGGGAAGAACTCATGGTTTGGGAGATGAGGGGAAGGGGGGTGGATCCCATTTTTTTACATCACTGTGAGGGAGCTCCAGGCCCTGTCCCTGGAGAAATTGCTGCGCAGAAGTCACAGGCCATACTGGGTAGATCGGATAGAGTCTGCCCTTTAAAAAAAAAAAAAAAAAAAGCCTCAATTTGCATAGAATATCATTCTTGCCAGTCTCCTGGCCCTAAACCTGCCTTTTCAAGGGTTGGAGGGTCATGGGCTAATCTATTTACTTCTGGAGACCTTCAAATGCTGCCCCTGGGAAGACCCCTAATTCTGGGGAGAGAGCAGCCAAATTGCCAATACAATCAAACTCCATATGATCTTGTCAGCAATAGTGACACAGAAGACTTGGCTGCCTCTAGGTTCACCAGAAAGAGGCCCAGGGCTCCCCAGTCACATTTTCTACCCTGACCATTTTTGGGATGACAACCTCCATTTCTGGCTCCAGTTGAATTTTCTCCACCCAAACCCCACTAATAGATGGGTCCATGATGATAATTAAGAGAAGGGAAAAAATTATTTTTAGGACAAACCATGGTAGATTTTTAGCAATGTGTATCTGTGTGTCCCTCACACCTTTTCCTATTCTACCTTTTTCATTTTCCTTTTTTTTAAATATTATGTACTATATTTTTAGTCTCAAACACACTATATATTATATATATTTAATTTTTTTATATATATAAATATAAATGTTTTAAAAAGTACCATGTTTTGTGTTATTTCATGTGTGAGCAGCTGTGGTTACTTAAAAGTTTGCCTGATGTGGTCCAGATTTGGGGGAAAAGATAAGAGTATTTTTTTGTCGAGATTGCAGAGACTATGTCACCTCCAGCTGTAGGGCAAATGCCTTTTATTAACCAGCCTGTGTCTGTTACAGAACCCTGAGGCCAATTCAGGGACAAACAGCCAGAGGCTGCATGCTCTGGGGAGCACAGCAGCCAATGTTCTGTGCCAAGTCTGCCTGTGGGGTGAGAAAGATCCAGATCCCAAAGGAATTGGTAGTGGGAACGGAAGTAGGATTGGTTTCATTTATTAAAATGCGGTGGTTTGGGTAAAAAGTGAAGTTACCAGGTCGCCAAGCCTTTCAATTTTTTTTTTTTTTAAACAGAGGCATTTTATTTATTTATTTGTTTGTTTGTTTGTTTTTGTTTATACATGCACTGGGTACAATCAGAAGCGCGGGAGGGTGAGAGAATTCACCAGAGCCAGAGCGGGGAGCAGAGCAGGCAGAAGGACCGAAGTACACTGCTGAGGGGAGCAGCGGGTGGCAGGAGAGGTCTGCGCGCCATGTGGGACCCTCCTCCGGTGGCCGGGGAGCAACCAGGGATTGAACCGGCGCTGCAGAGGCTGCAGGCAGCTTCGCAACCCAGCGCTCAACCGCTGCGCCACCGGGGAGGCCCCAACCCTTTCAATTTGTAGTGAAAGAAAATAGAAAACCAAATGGTGCAGGTGTTCACACACACGCACACCCATGCGCACACACTGCCTGCCCAGAAACCCCATCTTCTACAAGTTTACTAGCCTTTGCAAGGATTTCACTGCTCCTTGCACAGGGGTATTTAAGACCAACTGAAATTGTTACCATAATGTGTTGTGTTTTTGTTTTTTTTTTTTAGATTTATTTATTTATGCATACAAGAGCTGGGGTAGAGGCCAGAGATGCGGGGGGTGAGAGGATCCACCAGAGACAGAGTGGGGAACAGAATAGGCAGACTGACCGAAATACACTGCTGAGGGGAGCAGCGGGCGAGACAGGAGAGTTCTGCTGAGCCATGTGGGTTTCTCCCTGGGTGGCCAGGGATCAAACTCATGCTGCAGAGGCTGTGGATTGCTTCATAGTGTGGTGCTTAACGCCTTGCGCCACCAGAGAGGCCCACAGATAATGTTTTTGAAAGTGGAAAAATTAGAGAAATACAAAGGTTCATTGTTTTTCTCATCCATTTAACAACAGAGCAAAGTAAAACCACCCATGGGCACTTTTTGTATGCTAGGGACACAGGACACTGGCAAAAAAACACTAAAGATAACGCAGCCTGTTTCCACGAAGGAGCTCACAGCCAGGAGTTGTGCCAGGGTATGCAGAAGCAGTGGAGGGGAAGCAGCGGAGCAGCCAGGACTGAGAGTCCTAGGTGAGTCCAGCCTAGGTGTCAGTGAGAAGCCTGGGGCCAGGGTGACACTCAAGACTGCAGCCAGGTAACTTGAACTGGAACAGGTCACAAGTAGCATTTTAAGGCCTCCCTGGTGGCTCAAGGGATTAAGCACAGCACTATGAGGCAATGCACAGCCTCTGCAGCATGAGTTCGATCCCTGCCAGCCAGGGAGCAACATACATGGCACAGCAGACCTTTCCTGTCTCGCCTGCTGCTCCCCTCAGCATTGTCTTTCATTCAATCTGCCTGTTCTGTTCCCCACTCTGTCTCTGGTGAATCCTCTCACTTCCCACACCTCTTGACCTGTACCCCAGCTCTTGAATGCATAAATAAATAAATCTTTTTTTAAAAAAAAGTGGCATGCTAGGATGCAGACACAGGCAGTATAGAATGAAAGAAAATAGAGGAGGCAAGGTTGTCTACTTGTGGGCGCCCAGGAGAATTTTGTTAGGCCAAGTATTATAAGTTGGGGTACTTGTTTGCTTTGTGTGCACATGGGATATGTTTTATTCATCTCCACATTAGCAGAGCCAGCAGGCACTTTGAGCCAAACAGGACACCACAAGAGGCTCCAAGGGCGGGGACCCACCCTCTTCTCCAGTCACATGACAGACAACAGGAACCTATCCCTGTTATTAGGCCACTTCCTAAGACAAGGGACTACCTTCCTTCTTCAAGTCACCTGCAGCCTAAGGACAGTAATAAAAGCAGGCCTATATCACCAAGCTGTGCTGAACTGTAAGAGGCCTTCTTGGGAGGTGCTCTGCCTGGAAGCAGGAGCTTCTGCTTCCGTCACCAACTTGCTCCTGTGCATCTTTCCCCCAAAGTGTGGCTTTCAGAGTCCTCCATGATCTGCCCTGAGGCACCTTCCCAGAGGATCCATTTTTTTTTTTAAAGATTTATTTATTTATGCATACCAGAACTGGGGTACAGGCCAGAGGTGTAGGGTACAGAGACAGAGTGGGGAACAGAACAGGCAGACAGACTGAAAGCACTGCTGAGGGGAGCAGGAGAGGTCTGCTGCACCATGTGTGTAGCTCCCTGGCCAGGGATCAAACTCGTGCTGCAGTGGCTGTGGATAGCTTCATAGGTTGCGTCTTAATCCCTTGTGCACCAGGTCTTTCACTTACCTGACCTTTCAACACAATCAAAAGGAATAAAGCCTTATTTGAGGTATGTCCCTGACTTTTCCTGCCTCTGTGCTTTCGTCCAAGCTCTTTTCTCTACCTATAATACCCATGCCTCTTTACCTTCTCATTTCCAAATTTTACGTATCTTCAGGACCCAGCTCAAAGGCCATCTCCAGGAAGTCTTGTCTGCCTCACTACTCAATCACTTTCCCTCCTGTGAGGTTCAGGACAGATGAGCCAGATCCCATGCCTCTCATTTATAATGATCTGCTTGGATCTCAGGGGCTTGTGTAGGATACACGAGCACCTTTCCTCTTAAAATGAGGCCACCTGAAGGCTGAGAGTATGTATTGTGTGATAATCCTCATCCCACGGAGCACCTGGCATTTAGTAGCTCAGTTGGTGCTGGAGGAATGCAGGAATGGAGGAAAGCAGGAGGGAAGGAAAGCGGACTCATGCACATAATACAGAGAGGGAATTTAATCCAGAGGACTTCATGCTGGATGAAATCATGCAGTTCAGTGATTAAAAGCATAGACTCTCAAGTCAGTCTGCCCAGCTGATGGGCATCACCAGCATTCACTAACAGCGGGGCTTTCCTTCTGGTGCCCTGGCTATTGGGCAAGGCCGACCTGACCAGTGTGGGCCAGTGTGCTGTCAGCAGAAGTGACTTGTCACTTCCACACCATAGCATTTAATTGCTAGTGTGAGACCCTCCAGCGCTGTCTTTGTCTACCGGAGCAACAGAAGCTCATTTATTCCAGATGGTGCAGCTTCCTAATAGTGGAGCCCCCTCTGCCTGGGTCCCAGAGTCACTATGCAAGCAGGGTGCCTTTGCCGACCCAGGATGAATTTGTAGTTTGAGAGAGAAATGAATCCTTGTTTTGTTAAAATAATAACATTTTAGAGTTGTTTTTTTCCTGCAGCAGAGCATATTCTATCTTGATTAACATAGTTTCACCTTTTGCCCCCACTTGACCTTGGGTAAATTATTTTGCCTCTCTGCACCTCCCATTTCTGTGAAATGGACTAACAGTAAGTAGTTCCTATCCCACAAGAGGTGTTTAGCAGAATACTAACACATGAGTACTCAGTGAATGAGTGTTTGGTTTGCCTGGACAAAGAGGGGCAGTGGGTGTTTTGTCCCTTCCCTTTCCTTTGCCTTTCCTGGGAGGCCTCACAAAAGATACAACAACTGCGGTGGTGGGGGTGGGGGTGGGGGTGTGAGTATGAAAAGAGCGTGGAATGTGAAGGCCAAGCCTAAAATCCCCAAGCTGTATCCTGGTATTCTGATTCAGGGCAGGTCAACACACCTTTATGAGGTACCAGATACCAGACTTGGCATCTGTAAAATGTAAGCTCTCAGTGAGATAAGATGTGCAAAGCCCTTTATAAATTGCTAAATGCTAGTGAGATGTGAGTTGATTACTTTGGTCTATTAACACACTGCAGCATCCCACCCCCACTTTCTGCAGCATCCCAGCCACATACCTCACTGCCACAATCACCCCCCACCTTGCGCAAGTGCATATGAACCAGCAACCCTGGCAGGGACCTAACATTAGAAGAATGTGTCTATCCAGCTGGGCACCATAGGCCTATCTTGCTGGCCCCCAGAGCTCTAAATTCCAAAGACCAGCTCTTTGCAAACCAGGAACCTGGGGGAGGAGAAAGATCACTTCAGCAGCACTCACTTTCCCATTTCCTTAACTCATTGTAATTAGAGGCACAGAGGCAACCTCCTGGGGAGAGCAGAGCCATCAACTCCCAGAACTGAACTGAGGAGCTTTGTCTTTTTGTTCCTCTTCACATAATACTGCTCTCTTGGTGGTCGCTATGCAAACACATCCTGCATTCATTTGCAAGCTGGGGAATATTTCATATTTTGAGGCTCAGATTAATGGCCCACCTCCCCTAAAGAATCACTGGTTGGGACTTCTTTTCAAACAGTATCATGTCAACATTCTTAGACCAGCTCCCAGTCATGCCTGTTTGCGGGAGGACCAGAACCTTGCTTCTCCCAGACCCTCGCTAAATAGAGGCTTGACCATAGGGAATAGAATCTCAAAATATGAAGGCACCTCTGGGGCCACTGGGGCCAAGGATGGACCAAAAACCACAGAGTCAGATGGGCTCTGCAGCGAGACACCAGGTAACCAGAAAGCAGGGCAGCATTTTTGGAGCCTGGAATCTGAATGTGCGACTTCCTTCCAGTTCTCTGGGCACCAGCTCTGTGCCTTTGGGGAAATCCCTTGACCATCCTGGCCTCCATTTCCTCATTGACAAAAATCACTCCTTCATTCATGCAAGAAAACATGTATTGAACATTTACCATGCATCTGGCGCTATGCCAAGCCCCGGGGACACAGCAGGGAACAACACAA